CCTAACTATTCTATGATTCTACAATAAAAACACTTCCAATACATTTTGCTATGATCATAACTGTCTGAATAAAATTTGCGTGTAACCTCTTACTGGACCTTTAGAGGACAGCCATGATTATGGGTATTTTTGTAAAAAACAAAAAAGTTAGGCCTTGTCCATAGTATGCCTGTATGTATCTGGGGGAGCGTTATGCCACATTTGTTTAAACTTTATATGCATCTGTTCGTCAATTTAGCTATAAACCCTGATGTTTCCTTGGGGGTGGAAAGGAAAACAAAACGTAAAAACCAAAAAGCTGACAAGTGAATAAGAACTTGTACATGTTCATTAGTGTGTGAGGAAATAAATTGTTTAAGCTACTTGGACCAAGTCAGTTCCCACTAGTGATCTAAGACTGGTTATGCTTTGATAGTGGCACATATTTCAGCCCCTATAAGGTAAAGCCCAGGTATGCTTCTTGGCATGTATAACAATGTGCTATGTTGCCTTTTTTTTATTCATTTCATATGGTATACAAAAACATCTTTTAAATATAAAAAATTCTGCTTAGTCTTAGTTTTTCAACAAATACAGTTTGAATTCCATAAACTGGAAGAACATGCTGCTACATATGACATTCAAATAATTCATTTTTTTCAGCAGTCAGTCAAACATTCTTTTGACATGAGGGACTCTGTATACTTAGTTGCCAGGCTCTGTGTAGAGACAATGCAGGACAGGAGTCCACAGCAGCAATTAAAATCAGTTCCTGAGAATGAATTACTGCTGGGGCCTAGCACATCATATCACATCTGATGTGAAAGCTTCTGTGTATGCTACCTGTTGCCCTACATGATACGTTCTCTGCCTATTTTCCACAACAGAAAGAAACCAGTTACATCTGCTGTCACAGACAGCCGATCTGTGAAAGGCTACCTCGAGATTTTATGTTGCAAGACCATGTTTCAAACCAGACACACCTATTGGAGAAGACACAATGCTCTTTTTACCCTCACCCTGCTAAGTCTCAAGCTACTTTGTGAAGCACTTTTTTTCCTTGTCGTGGTCAAGTGGGAAAATGCAAATGTATACCACTAACTGTAGTAAGTTTTACCAAAACCAAAAAACAAAACAAACCAAAAGAGATTGCCCAGATGATTACTCAGTAAAGAACCATAAATATAATTAATTTTTAAATACTTAATATGTTCACAGACAGGAGTATAGAGGCAGTGGAACCGCAATGACATTTTATTAATATAAAAATGTATCTCCTTGGCAGCCCCACCCAACTATACACTGTCTACCTGTATTCTGTGATGCAAGGGAAAATACACGAGCAAAGCAGAATGGAAGGGACTCTAGTTTTATACAGTGCCTTTCATATAATGAGTATTAAGTGAATGACATCCAAATGTGCACCTGAGAGCATCATCCAACATTGTTTGCCAGTCTCCTAAAGAATTTGCATGCAAGCATTTTTCATTGTGTCATTTATATGCAGTTTTATTAAATAAAGGAAATGCAATGGCCTGCTGACTGTTTTACTTTTGTGTGTGCCAAAAAAGATGGAATAAAGTAACTAAATTGTACTTGCTGGGCCCACTTCCTACCTGTATTTCTGAGCTGATCTAGAAGTATGTGAATAACAAGAAAGAACCAAATGATAAATAATGAGTTAGTGGGTTTATTCTAATTAATGTATTTACAGATTGGCTGTACCTAAATTATGTCTCAGTTAAATGAGTTGCAGTTATAAATGGAAATCAGTAGCAATCTCTCCATCAATTTCAGGTTAAACCATCTTCTTCTATCTCCACATGGCAAAGCGCCTTAATATCAGCTATCTTTCCCCAGGAAATGGCTAAAACATGTATGTGAATTATTCTTTCCTAAAATTCAAGAGCTTCTATCCCTCTTCGCCCTAAAAAAAAAAAAAAAAAAACACACAAAAAAAAAACAAAAAAAAAAAAACAAAAAGCATGGGGATTCAGAGGTGGAGAGGGGATGATGATCATGCAGTATTGACCAATTTAAGGTGCTCTAAGGTGCATGTGGGTCACACTGCAGTGGAGTGTGCCTGGAGGCTCTCTGTTTCTCCTGAGATTTCTCCCTGACAAAAGAACTGAGGTATTCTCCAAGCTACTTCATTGGCACTGGACTGGACAGCTGTGGTAAGGGTACCACCTGGATCGTATAACAGGGTGTAGATACAGTCATTGTATCTCATCTTTTCCACACTGATTTTAGGGCAAAATACTTACATTCAGAATATCACAAATATCCTGGTGATATATGCATAAGTACAACTATACTGCCTGTATGCATCCCAATGGCTTTCTGTACAAGAGGCCCAAATGTGTACATATGCTGAGAACACTGAATGTACAATATGGGTGAATGTAAAACTATACATATTTCTCCAGTGGACACATTTGAAAACAAATGATCCCTTTTATCATCATTTCCTAGAAAGTATTCTTATATTAAAACACTGAAGACATCTGTTCATTTTCATTTGTCCCACATCAACAACTGTTCCAACCAAGATTAGCCGCTTAACAGACATACACAAGCCCAGTATGTGAATTCACTGTTTATGTTAGTAAGTAGAAATGCTTGACTGTTCCTGTTGCAACTGCAAAGGCAATGAACCCAAAACACTGGGTTCATTGCTAGAGTTTGGTAACAGATCTGTTCAGTGCAGACTTAAGAATACTAGCTTATAAAGAAGCTTGCCTTGAGAGGTCTTTGGAAAACAGATGAACTAAACCTTTAAAGGTTTTTTTACAGTAAATTTAAAATATTTCTAGTCTTTCTTTTCAAATTCGCCTTCTAACAGATGGTGCCTTTCTCTTGATCTGCTATCTCTTTGGCATGCTTTTCAAATTCTTCACTTTATCAAATGCTATAGAATTGGGCAATATAATCTAGGTCTGACTATCTACTGGGGGAGAGCATCCATATAACTGCATCTAAAGTCATCAAGAAAAAAACTGGTTAGGAAACATCAGGAAGCCGAGGAGTGGGGCTGGCCCTCAGTCAGGGGAGCTGGGGCCACAGGGGACACAAGACCACCAGACGGGCATTCGGCCCTGGACCTCAGCCCCTTGACAATCAGCTAGGCAAGTGGCATGGACTGGGACTGAGGGCTGAGCCTGCAGCAGCTCTAAGCAAGGAGGGATTCCCTCTCACAGCCCACTCCCACTAAGATCCCCACTGCCCATGGGTTCTAGGACTCAAAGCTGTCATCCCCATCCCCTTAGGCCTGGCCAGGGGCCAGGGCCTGGCAGAAAACTTCTGAAAAATGTACTGTCCTCGTAATAAGAACAGTGAAATTCATGACTAACAGGAATGGCTCATGGTGTGATTCAACTGTTTTCTCCTAAAACAATTAGGCTGAATTCACAAAGGTTTGCTATGAGTTTTGTTTACAAAATCTGGAATTGGAAATCTCTGCATAAGAGGTACAAGAGAAACAAGCAAGAAGAGTAACATACAAGGGTCTTTGTATCTACTTGCCTTTGTGTTTTATTCCTGTTGATCAATTCACAAGCCTGTCATCTCTCTGGTATAGTACTTACAATAGAATTATGTTCTGGCCTCTCCTTCCTTTACAATATAAATACTGTGTATGAATTACATATATAAAACTATACATACATGTATTCTTTAATAACCGCATAGCCTCACTGACATATAGAGATCTTTAGTGAACAGTACTATAAAACTCCATGAAACAGTATCACCTTTAATTTAGATTCATTTGAAGGCCATCATGAGGAAAGTATGTCTTTTGCTTTACATTAAAGTAGTTGTGAGAGAGAAAACATAATTTGGGAGCTGTATTTATATTCTCTTGCTTCAAAAATAATGAACAAATAATCAATGAACACAAAAATTACATACTCAGAGGAAGTATTTTTTACGCTTTGCTTATAAACTTTTGAAACTAACTACAGCACTATATGAATTGATTCTAAGACCTTAGAGGATTCTGCAAATGCTAGCTATGTACATCAATGAAGCGTACATCCAGAAGTGTAATGAAACAAAAAAGAAGGTGGCAACAAATAGGCAATCATAAACCCCTACAATTTTCATGCAGGTCACCTAACTTTTCAAACATCAGCTCTTCTGCTGAACAGGTTTCAGAATCATTTTAAAAACAGAGTTAACAATGTTTTTATGTATGCTAACAGACTTTTAAAATTTGTTCCAGAATACAGCATTATAGTAATAAACTAGTTTATTGAGTTTGCTCTCTTCAGGCAGTTCACCCCATGTGCATTTTAATCTTCCGTTTAGTTCCTCTATTAAGACAATAAATATATTTTGCCAGAATTTTACATTAGAAGATAATGTCTCAGTATTTAATTTACTAAATAAAATCAATAAAATATAAAAAGTAGAATAATAAAACTAGAAGTTATGACACTGCTTTGGTTAAACTAAGAAAATACCAACCTTTGAAGAATAATGTTAATTACAATACCAAGCTATTAGGAAGGAGCAAGGAAGGAAGGAAGGAAGGAAGGGAGGGAGGGAGGGAGGAAAAAGAATATCAGAGATGCCTGCTAAATCCTGTGTAAGAGAAAGCCATGACTTTCTGTAAGAAAGGCTAAAATTATTGTCATTTTATTCCATACTATCTATAGCTCCGTATTTCTGACACTGTTGGAAGGAGGAAGATGCAGCTAATGTGTAATTGTCATTTCAGCCAACAAGCAGCATAAAAGATATGGCTGAGCCCTTTAGACAAGGGAAATCTCTAGGAACCTTTAGGCAGGAGGAAAATTATGCCCAAATCCTTCTGACACGTGTTAAATCAGACTGCTCATTGAGAACAGCTACTGAAATCTGACAGAAAAGCTAGGGCTGTCTCATACATTTTGTTGTATGGACTGGGTGCCCTTCCCACCAGCTTCCAAAAGTCTTTCTGCACCATAATCATAAGGTTAAGGCTCTTTCACAGCCATCAGTAACGCATTTCCTAAGAACAGCTCTCACACATATTTTGGGGAGGGGTTGTAAATGACAAAGTCAAATGTACAAATTCTATACTTTAGCCAGGATGTAGATATCTCATCATGGCCTGTACATCTACCTTCTTAACCCCAGCTGCTTCCAGAAAATTCAGTATTACAGCAGTACCAGATGACCTCTCACAGGGGAGATGATTTTTAATTGGTCGCTCTACTTGCAGATGAATAACAACACATGGCCCATGGGGTATTTTGTCATACATCAGCCTTTATCTCACAGAAGATCAATAGGGCACTCATCAGAGACCACAGCAACAAACACTAACTTCCTAAATAAATAAAAAAGAAGGGTCCAGAGTGATGTTCCCTGGTCATTGTATCACATAAGACAATTACAGCAGTTGTTGCTCTCTTGCCATTAATAGGGGAATTGTAAGAGTTTAAAGAACCTCCACTGAAGAAACTGTTTTCCAGTGACTTAACAAGTTAATCATGCACCACAATATAAATATATTATGGCAGATTCGTGTACCATAGCAAAGACATACAATCTGTTTCAATTATCTTTGCATGGATACAGAAGGCAAATAAAAACAAACGTAAAAGAGCAAGAGTAGATAAGTAAAATCAGCGGTAATGACTATTTCAGGGAAATTATAGTAGAGAAATTGTCTATAATGGCAGAAATCTCACTCTGTTTACTAGCTCTAATTCTTCTCCTATTCTATCACTGAGACTTATCATGTGCAATTTTACATGTTTGCTATGATAAAGACCACAATAACCAAGACAGCTAGTATTAAGTTACATATCAACATATTTCATTTAGGAAAACAGTGCCTGGCATATTAATTGCAATGTAATTTAACGTAAGGGGTATTGCTGTATTTAAAGCTGTACTTTAAAAATGGGAGTGGAGAACCAAGCCCTGTACGAAAAAAACAAGCAAACATTTTTTTCACCTACATCCTGCTGTTTAGGAGCATAATCTCATTTAGGCCTTCTGACTCCCACCCCATAGACACTCAGAAACAGCCAGCTCTCCAAGCTAAGTGTCCCAAGTAAAATTCAGGACACCTGTAGACGCTGTCATAGTTCAATCACAATGCATACCCTTGTCAGGTTTAGTAATACTGTACAACATTTTGTTCTGGGTTCAGCTGTAACATTTATTTTTCCCCTTCTTAGTAGCTGGTGCAGTGTTGTGTGTTTGACTTTAGTCCGAGAACAATGGTGATAACACCAATGTTTTGGGTTGTTGCTAAGTAATGTTTACACCAATCAAGGACTTTTTAGTCCCATGCTCTGCCAGTGACAAGGGGTACAGGAAACTGGGAGAAAGCAAACACCGGACACCTGACCCAAACTAGCCAAAGGGGTATTCCATACCACAGCACGTCATGCGCAGTATATAAAGTGGGGGGAGTCACCCAGAAGGCCCAGATTGCTGCTCAGGTCAGGCTGGGTATCAGTAGGCGGGTGGTGAGCAATTGCATTGTGCATCATTTGTGCTTATTCTTTTCCCCTTTTAATTTTATGTTCACTCCCCTTGTTATTTTCCTTATCATTATTATTACTGGTGGCAGCAGTAGTGGTTTGTGTTATACCTTAGTTACTGGATTGTGGTTTGTGTTATACCTTAGTTACTGGACTGTTCTTATCTCAGCCAATGGTAGTTACGTTCTTTCAATCCTCCTCCCCATCCCTCCAGGAGCAGGGGGAAGAAGAAGGCTGGGGAGTGAGCAAGCAGCTGCATGGTTTTGAGTTACCAGCGGGCCTTAAACCACAACACATCTTTACTGGTGAGCAAGTAGCCTAATAATGAATTTCCTAGTATACAGCCACTTTAATAATGCATTATCTCATTTAACTACTGATGATTATATTGATCTCTGGAAAGGTAATTTTCCCTCTTATTTTCAGCCTTCCTACTTCATACATTAATTCTTCACATGCAAAGTTTCACTAATGCTACCACAATTTTTTCTGGTTAGGATTTTCAGAGAAACTTACGTTTGTTAGGTGACCAGTCTTGTTTAGCCAACTTTGAAGCACTCAGTTACGATCTTTGACAAGCCAAGCCCAGGACATCATGTAATATTACTTGAAACTCCCAGAAAATGTTATTTGTAGCTATCATCTGCCAGTTGCTATAGCATAATATTTGCATCTGGCACTGCTATTATCACAACTTTTTATTTAAAAGACTTCAGCCCATTACATTACGACAAATCTCCAACTGTTACTAAAAACACCCTTTATAACAAAACTATATATTTAGTCATTGCTGAAGAAATGATGAGAGATTCCTTTTGGGATCACTTTTTAAGCAGCCATAATAAACTGGAGAATTATTGCTCATTTTCATTCTTGAATTTCTTTGTAGCCTCAGGGAATACATTTTTTCATAATCATCTGTTGTTAACAGGATATTAGTGCCTCATTTTCTTAAATATACGTACTGTGTCTCTGCTGTCACAGTGTCTTTCTTCACAGTACTATGCAGTTGTAACATACAGTGTCTCACCAGCTACTGTAACACAGAAATAAATCTCACCAGCTACCATAACACAGAAATAAATAATCTTCCTGGGTAGCAATGCACTGCAAAGTCAAATTCAACTAAGGCTTCAAGCAGCCTTCGACTTCCTAGCATGATTTTTCATCAGCAAATTGTGTGTGTATTTTTGGCACTCAATGAATCTCAAATTTCCTTTAAGTTATAGCTTCACTGGTTTAGTTTAAAATATATGTCACCTCCAAAATAGTTGTGCAGCTTTTTTCCCTAGCCAGGGTTACAAGTCAATCCTGTTACTTGTGGTACACACAGTGCATGGTTTACAGACTAATGAACAACAATGAAAATGATTAGGTGCAGGTTTTACAGTAATACCAGGGCATCTATGTAGACTGTTGTGTAGATCACTGTGCTGACCCTTTCAATTTGCTGTACACTGGTTGATTTTCCCTCTCCCACCTCACTCCTTCCTGGAAACTGGCGTGATGCTACTGTCATCAATTCAGTATTCCAGCAGCAAGGAGTAGATTTTTGCACTCCATTTTCCTGCACCTTTTCCCCAACTTGCCTGTAGTGCTTTTCCTTCACTGAAAGCAGCAAACCTGAAGTTGGTGAAGGGGGCATATGGGGCAGACATAAGAAAAAGAGCTATGCTGAGATGTGTACACAACTTTAACCTTAATGGAGATCAATAAGACACTTGACAGTCTTCATAGCAACAAATACCAAGATGCTAAAAAAAATAGGAATATCTAGACTGATAATCCCAGATAAAGCCTTAGAAACTAGTCTTTCCTGCTAAAGCTGATGCGATCTGAAGTAAACTCAATAGTCTTATCTTCCTTTTCACTTTAAAATATATATAATTTTGTTATAAAAAGTTATTATCTTTGCAAAAACAAAAGCAGCTGTCATTTTCAACATCCAAATTTAGCTATTCCTGATTTTCACTTTTAGATTAGATTTCATTGAATGCTGCAGAAAAGAAGATGATAACAAAATATATTAAATAAACTATTTAAGTTAATGAAAAATATAAGCCATATAAGATATTTAATGCATATTTATTATCTGAACTATCTGGCCAAAAGCTCCATAATTCTTGTACTCTTGCAATCAAGACTTTAGAAAACGTGGGTAAAATAGATGTAGTATCTGTAATAAGCAGTTGCAAGCATCCTCTTGCAAATTACAAGCAGTGCTTTGTCTCTTCCCAGCTGTATCTGCAGTTTCAGTTCTCAATGCCATCAAGTCTTCTGAATTAATCTATCTGGATCTCATACATAGCTACATATCCACACTTTATTCCTTAGTTCTTTCTTCATAGGAGGTGAAGAAAGATTTTTCAAGGGACTTGCTATAGATATAGATGTATTAAAGCACTGGGTGAAAGACCATACAAGGGTACAAAGCTTTATATATGTCTCTTCTGCAAGGCACTGCAAACTTTATTAGTTCAGAACACCTTCTGAGGATCAAACAGCATGAAAAATTTCTATACAATCCTTGTCACTTTGGCATGACACATTTGCATACATCCAGTGGGTTTGAAAAGCCACACAATATGCACCAGGAATAATTCTGGCCTTGATTTTTGTGAGGACATTAAATCATTATGGACTCTTCCAGAAAGTCCTTCAGCAGAAGCACTAGGCACTAAAGACCCAAAGAATGACACAGAAGCCAAAGCTGTCTTTCTCCTCTAAGTATAGCCATTTCAGGAGGAAAAAGAAAAAAAAAAGAAAAAAGAAAGGGGATTTTATTGAAGGAGATGTAGCAGCTTCACTGATAAACACTGTGTTGCTTTCCCTTCAAGGCTGTTTTTGCTATTAAGGTACCTGAAGTTATCTAGGTAATTATATAACCAAAAAGATTGTAACAATGTTCTGGAGGCCTGCCCAAGGGAACAAAAAAAAAAAAAACCAAAAACAGCAAGCGACTGAATTTTCTACAGATACATCAGGGCTAGCCATCTGAAACAGTAGATTGTGCACAGAAAGTACAAAGTTAGACTGCAAGCAGTTCTCCTTTGTGTGTTGTCCCCCCTCTTTTTTTCCTTTTAGCTTAAAGTGAAAAAGGTTATCTTGAAATGGTTGGTAAATCCAAATCCAGATGCTAAATTTCTCTGACTAGAGCAGCTGGCAGACTTGAGCTACCAGCAGTCCTCACTGCTTCTGGAAAGACAACTCCATAACTTCAAAGGTAAAACTCTGCCTGTGATGTGGCAGCTCAGTGCTGTTCTGAATTATTCTTTGTTCTTAAAGAAATTAAAAAAGAGGTTCTGTCATCTTCCCTTGCCCTACCCTACATAAATTCCAGATTTCTAACTTAACTATATTATTGAGTTCTAATAAGGAGGAGTATTTAAAACAAAATATATCTATCCCATGAAACTGTGAGCAGTAGCACAATGTAATGTTTTTAGGTCATCACCTTCCTAATAAAGAAAGCATGGCTCTGCTCTTATGGAATAATTCCCATTAATGGCATTATCCATTCATACCTGTGGAGAAATAACGGCCACTACAGTGACCAAATGCTATGCTTACTAAAGAGCATGCCGAAATGACCATCAAAAAATTTTCAAGCAGCTGACTCCCAAGACAGTGTGAAGAAGGAGCATGCAGTGCTGGGTGGGGGGATTCGCTTGTCCCGATTTCCATCTCTCAACATTCACACCAAGTCCATGCTGATCATTTCAAGCTTTCTTGAGAGTCTGCAGAAAGACCTTTAAAACACCTGCTTTCAGTGGAGCAAAGGCATTGATTGGAAGACCCCACCACAGGCCAGGAAATGGAGCCTGGAGTAACA